CGTGAAGTCAAGTTAAAAGTTGTTCATAGTACCTAGTTTTGTTTTGAAACGTTACTCTATGATCCTTCTTATTCAGCCCCGATTATAGGCAATGTCAAATCAGACATTTAGCTTTGGAATGGAATGGTTCACTAGTGGAAAATAAAGTACCACATACTTTGATTAGTCCATTCGTTCCTTTTCTTGTGCACAGAGTCATAGAGAATATTGTGCATGAGAAATACTCTGTTTAACACACACCACATTAAAGATAGAGTATGAATTTTAAATATTAGAAACTGCGATCATGTAAATAGACTTTATGTAGGTGAGTTCAGAATATTATTTTGGTTCCCTAGTACTCCAATTGATATTACTAAAACCCTTACTGTTTGTGCGAGTATGGCAGCAGAGAGCAGCTCTCTCTCATAAGGCGATATTTGAGGATCAGCCTTCTTGCTCCTCTTCCGTTTTGGCTCTGTTGAACAGGAGGAAATACATCTTTAGAAATTGCACACTACGGACAAGAGATATAACTGGTCGCAGACGTGAAGTAGGTCACCAAGTATATGATATGTGATGCTAACCTGGAGGTGTTTCCTGGGGGAACAGAAGCCTTGGGTGGTAGGGAGAGGCAGGGATAGTGGCGTTGGATGTCCCCGACGCAGGAGATGACACCCTCATGTCTTCTGTAAATGCATTGTCATTTTAGTAAACATAGCAGTTGTCTGAAAGTATACAATGTATGTAATGTAATATATAGAGAAGAAAAACTTCTATAAAAACTTTAATTACAGAAAGCAATACCATTGCAGATATGGCCATTGTATAGCATGACGTGATATAAATTTCATATAGTCAAATGTCCCCATTTCAACCCAGTACAAACCTTCAGGTTGCGCAGAGGCCTCTTCAACAGCGGGCCCTTCCTCCACCCTACCCATATTGCTGGTGGTGGGGCGCGGGGTAATGGAAGGGTCGAGGAACGAAAGGGCACTTGCGTACCTCCACTTCGCGGTCCCCGCTGCAGAGCCACTCCTCTGTACGTCTTTTTTCCTTTTCATATAAGTGTCACGTAGTGACCGCCATCGCTTCTTGCAAAATTCGACTGCAAAGAATCAGATACTAGTCAGAATTTCCCCTCGAAAAACTAGCATAAACAAGAACCAATTTACGAATGAATGATACTCAAAAAACGTACCAGGGAGGTTGAGCTGCTGCGCAATGGCCTTCCATGCCGAATCTTTCTTCGCTCTGTCGCTATATTCCGGAATGCAGACTTTCCACAACTCTGGAAAGTTGTGGAATGAGACTATCCACAGCTTGATCCTCCATGTTTAAATGACCGGTTCCTGGCTCACAATGGGGAAAATATACGCTGTGTAGTGGCGTGATTACGTCAGTGGTGTGCGTGCTCTCTGATTGGTCGCTGCACGAACATCTCGAGGAAAAGTTGAGCGGAATCCATCTCCTGTGGGCGTTCATTTTCCGCTCCTTCTCCTCCCCTTTGACTTTCCCGCCAAGTCCGCGCGTTTCTACTGGGCGGTCCGTGCGTGTGTGCCGAGAGGTCCGTGCAATGCGACGCTGAAACGCGACTCCCCATTGACTTTGCATTGAACGCAGACGCAACGACTGTCCCGGTCTGAAAGCACCATTAGACCTGCTCCCTTCTACATCATACAGACCTTAGATTGTTTATGACGCGCGGTCGGAGAATTCATTCCCTGAAGAAGTCCGCTGGTTTGAGGACGAAACGTCGAGAAAACTTGCTAAGAAGTACAGATGATGGGTGAGAAACCTTCCTTTGCTTTGACTAATCCCTGTACGACTGAGAGCTTACACAAATTTACTCTACTCGGATTTACTCTACTCAGCTCTACTCTAGTCTACTTTATTCTACATTTCTTACTCGACTCTTCTCAGATTTACTCTACTCGGTTCTACTCGACTCGACTCTACTCTACTATACCCCGTTCTGGAGTATATCCACATGCCCAGTTTGACCAGTACCATGGGTGTATTCTTTTCAGTACCTGCTTGACCCGAGCTGGAATTTTTTTGCCTTTAAAAGAAAAAAGTGAATATATTGTTTCCAGTTGGTAATTTTAAAATTTCATTCTACTCCTATAACAGGCAATCTGGTGTGGAAAGTGGAGATCATTCTAAAAACCATTCTGTGTCCATCTAATATATTTGTCTTATTTTCTTGTATTTAGTTGTTCTCACTGTGACTGAACTTCTTCCAGCTTTATGCATAAATGTTATGATCGTCGTCCAAATGTAAGATTTATTCACGGTTGTAGGCGTCTTATGTAACGCATTCACATACAAGGATTTATGAAGGATACAGATTTATATTGTGAGAAAAATAGGAGAGAAGCCTGATTCGTCTCACTACATCCCTGTGCACAGTGTGGGCAAGGGCAAACTCATTTTTACAAGATTTTGCTCCAACTCGCTCTGGATCCTATTGACTTACATTGAAAAGTAAACTCCTCAAGCTCAGTAAAAAAAAATAGTGTCATGTGAAGGTTCTGTTTAAAGAACAATGCAAATAGCTGCTGAAGAACACAGCATAAGTTGGTCTGCCGCCATTGTTGTTTATGTTTGTCCTCGGGGGGGGGGGGGGGACGACGTCATTGGCCGTGCAGCCGTTATGTTTTTCAAAGCTTCCAAAACACAAAAGGCCAATCCGCTTGTCCAACTCTATAGTAAATAGAAGAAATAGTAAATGCACTCCAGCTAGCTTATGTTCAAAATAGCTTTGTCCGCATTAAGGCTAACACTACGGCAACGTCATATTCGGTCTGTCCACTCCTGATATACAGTCAGAGGATAGCACCAGGGTTGCTTATAAAAACTGCCTTGCGATGGTTTAACAGGGCTCTACCCCAATGGGGATAGAGTAGAGCCGAGTGGGGTAGAGCAGAGTAGAGTAGAGTGGGGCTGGTGGAAACAGGGCTTTTGTTGCGTTTTTTCCAAAAATTTAAAATGACTGCAACATACAGTATATGATTACAAAGAAACTGCCAAATTAAACTCTATTGGCAATCACTCTTACCGAAAATGTCTCTAAGTACGATGAGTGTGGATGGATCTAAAAACAACTCCAGGTCTGTGATGGATGGGTTACAATGATACCTGTACCTCACACAACAATTGATATTTGCTGGTTTTATGTTTTGTCCTATTGGGCCGTTGTAGCCGCTCGCAGCTGCACTCAGCCTCATTATTTGATTTGTGGAAACAGCAGCGTGTCACTGTCGCTGAGGCTCAACAGGAGTCAGTCCAGTCTGTGTTTTATAAATGCGTCACACTGGTTTACTTCACTTTGAGACGATTCTTTGGACTCTGGGTTTGGCTGCAATCATCATGCAGAAGGTGAGAGAGTTGGGGTGGTTCTAGAAAGGGAAATATGCATGAATCAGTAATATTTTGCAATGCCAGCAATCCACATATTTGGAAGTCGTCCTGAAAATGTGACACAGGCTTCAGCTCCGACAATGCAAGGCAAGGCAAGGCAAGTTTATTTGTATAGTACAATTCATACACAGGGCAACTCAAAGTGCTGAACAAAACAAGAAAGCATTAAAATCATAAATAATCACAGAACATTAAAAGAAAGATAAAAATATAAAATCCCTCAGTTGTATGCACCGCTAAACAGAACCGTTTTTAGCCTGGTTTTAGACATTGTCAGAGAGGAGGCCTGTCTCACATCTTCAGGAAGATTGTTCCAGATTTTAGCAGCATGAATCTGAAAAGCAGCCTCCCCATGTTTAGTTCTGACTCTGGGCACTAACAGGAGTCCAGTCCCTGTGCTCCTCAGAGTCCGGGCTGGTTCATATGGGACTAACATGTCACTAATATATTTTGGTGCGAGGCCATGGAGAGACTTGTACACAAGCAGAGCTGTTTTAAAGTCTATTCTCTGAGCCACAGGAAGCCAGTGCAGAGACCTGAGGACTGGACTAATATGGTCGTACTTCCTGGTTCTAGTCAGGACTCGAGCTGCTGCATTTTGAATGTACTGCAGCTGTTTTACAGCCTGTTTGGACAGACCTGTGAGCAGGCCATTGCAGTAGTCTAACCTACTGGAGACAAATGCATGGATAAGAATCTCCAGGTCTGCTTTAGACACTATGTTTTGATCCTGGCAATGTTTTTTAGATGGTAAAAAGCTGCTCTGTCTTTGTTTCTGGGGACCAAAGACAATCATTTCAGTTTTGTCCGCATTTAGCTGAAGGAAGTTGTTTTGCATCCAATGTTCAAATCCAGGTTCAATCTTTTTCATTTACTGTGGTTAAACAAATAAACTTGCCTTACCATATTTCAGTGTGTTAAAAAAAAATTCTGCATGTTTTTTTTTTTGAGAGTCCCCAGAAAAGTCCATCCATCCATCCATTATTTTGTTTTGCATCTTTCATTTCTGGGTTGAGGGAGCAGCAGTTTAAGCAGAGATACCCAGACTTCCCTCTCCACAAAACTTATCTGAGGCATTCCAAGGCCAGCTGAGAGACCCACTCCCTCATTGGGTCTTGGGTCTTCCCCTGGTCTCCTCCCAGTGGGACATTCCCATACAAAAGGCATCAACGCATTCACAGCCACCTCAACTGGTTCCTCTCGACTTGGAGAAGCAGCGGCTCTACTCCAAGCTCCTCCCGTGTGACTGATCTCTAAGGGACCGCCTGTATCCGCGACCTCGTTCTTTCACTCATTACCCAAAGCTTATGACCATAGGTGAGGGTTGGAATGTAGACTGACCAGTAAATAGAGAGCTTTGACTGCAGACGCTGCTCCCTCTTCACCACAGCAGTCCCATACAGCGACCGCATCACTGCACACAGATACTAGAACTCCTCCATTTAAAAGTGCCTAATTAAATCCAATGCATTATTATATGATTTGTTATGATCATGTGTGTGTGTGTTTGTGTTCCTGGAGTGAGTGTATGTGTTGTCACAAGATTATATCGTTGTTTCTTTGGGTTGATAATTAAATATTTGAATGTTTTGTTGCAGCGGGCGGATGAGGAGGCCGTGGTCGACCAGGGAGGAACCAGCTCTGTGCTCAACATCCACTATGAGAAAGAAGAACTGGAGGGTAAGATTCATTCAATTATCTGCACAAATTAAATTATGCTATTGTAAAATCCGGAAACTAGGTTGTCAGCGTCCACCTCTCCCTGCTGCGGATGTGGTGACCTGGGATTAGGTCCTCAGTGAGTGGTTAGTGCAGCGATAGAGAGTGGCCCACAGGCAATAAAGGGTTAGTGGGATAATCTATCACATCCACTAAAGTGAAAACATGTTTTTACTGTCACGGCAAAACTTACTAGTGTTTTTTAAATACAGTGATGCTTTTATGTACAAGGTTTGAGAGTGGAACAATGAGTGCGTTTACAAAGCTCTAGAGCGAGAGAGAGAGAGAAAGACAAGAGAGAGTGCAAGGGTCTTCAAATTGGTCCAAAAAGGGTTGATGTGGCTGCCGGTTTTCGTTCCAGCCCAGCAGGAGCACACACCAGACTACACCCAGACCAGAGAGAGACCAGAGAGAGCGAGACCAGAGAGAGAGATCAGAGAGAGACCAGAGAGAGATACCAGAGAAAGACCAGACAGAGATCAGAGAGAGAGATCAGAGAGAGATCAGATAGAGACCAGAGAAAGATACCAGAGAGAGACCAGAGAGAGATCAGAGAGATACCAGAGAGAGACCAGAGAGAGCGAGACCAGAGAGAGAGATCAGAGAGAGACCAGAGAGAGATACCAGAGAAAGACCAGAGAGAGGCCAGAGAGAGACCAGAGAAAGATACCAGAGAGATACCAGAGAGAGACCAGAGAGAGACCAGAGAGAAAGATCAGAGAGAGACCAGAGAGAGATTCCAGAGAAAGACCAGAGAGAGACCAGAGAAAGATACCAGAGAGAGACCAGAGAGAGAGATCAGAGAAATATCAGAGAGAGACCAGGGAGAGGCCAGAGGGAGGGATTAGAGAGAGACCAGACAAAGAAATGGGTATTCAACTTGGTCCAAAAAGGGTTTGTGTGGCTGCAGGTTTTCATTCCAACCAGCCAGGAGCACACCAGACTCCACCCAGTCCCTCCACCCAGGCTTCTGTCTTAAAAACAACTCGAGGTCTGTGGCTGATGAGGAACAATGTTGTGAATTCCTTTAAAATCAATTTTGAAAAAAAAAAAACCAAGCTATGATGTTTGTTAGTCCATAATTTCCTTCAAGGCTGTGAATCTTCTGACAACAAAGACCTGTAGGAATCATTCACTATCATGATAAAGTCATACAGACCTGCTCCGTGTGAAACTAGTTCATTAATTTAAATGTATTTATTTGTATATAGCCCTAAATCACAACAGCAGTAATGTCAAAGGACTTTACAAAGTTGGGGATTCGCCAACAATTAGGGAGCGGGATGACCACTGTCCAGAAATGTTAATATATGTTCTGAATCAGAAAGAAAAAAAGTGAGAAACCTCAGTGAGACCCACATGCACACGTTGAACTCTGTGAAAGCCTTTGCTGAAGTGTGACATCAGATTTACATCCCGTTCCATTGTTGAGACTTGCTTTGAGCCGATCAAAGGCTGCAGAGCTGTTCATTATTACCCATAATGCTGTGCGGCGAGGGGTGAGTCACTGCGCGCTGTAACGGATGCAAATGTCACCTTTATTTTCCGAACAACGGCCTCATCACTCACAGCCTTTTGTTCCGGATTTTCAAAATGCTGTTGATTTTATGCAAAACATGGTCACTAAACTAGCAACGTTTTTCTATTAACACCAGGAATCCTAGAGCAGTTATTTTGACGGCTTCAAATCAATGGAATTCAGAAAAGTATATGTTTTAAAAAGTGTGTTCGTTGTCAGTCTTCTTAAAAGTAAATATTTCTCGAACAAAAGCAAAAGTTTTCTTCTGACTTTAAATATGTCATGTTATACCAGCGGTTATAGGATGTCGTATACTATGTTGTTGGAGTATACACATGACGAAAGACCGAAAGACCAGCGAGAGACCAGAGAGAGAGAGACTAGAGAGAGAGAGACTATTGAGAAACCAGAGAGAGCGAGACAAGAGAGAAACCAGAGAGAGAGACCAGAGAGCGAGACCAGAGAGAGAGACTAGAGAGAGAGACTAGAGAGAGCGAGACCAGAGAGAGAGACTAAGAGAGCGAGACCAGAGAGAGAGACTAGAGAGAGAGACCAGAGAGAGCGAGACCAGAGAGAGAGACTAGAGAGCGAGACCAGAGAGAGAGACTAAAGAGAGAGACCAGAGAGAGCGAGACCAGAGAGAGAGACCAGAGAGAGAGACTAGAGAGAGAAACCAGAGAGAGACCAGAGAAAGACCAGAGAGAGAGACTAGAGAGAGACCAGAGAGAGAGACCAGAGAGAGAGACCAGAGAGAGACCAGAGAGAGACCAGAGAGAGAGACCAGAGAGAGAGACCAGAGAGAGAGACCAGAGAGAGAGACCAGAGAAAGACTAGAGAGAGAGAGACTAGAGAAAGAGAGCAGAGCGACAGAGAGACAGAGAGAAAGAGACCAGAGAGAGAAAGAATACCTGAGAGAGGAAGAATAGAGAGAGAGAGACAGAGAGAGAGAGACCAGAGAGAGACACCAGGGAGAGAAAAGCTGAAACGTGTTATAACGAGGAAAAAGTACTGCAGTTTTTTACAACTCGACCATCAGTACCTAACCTAATGCCATCACCAGTACCAGCCGGGGTCTAGGGTGACAAACTAAGGGTGTATTCAGACCTGCACATTTGCTCCACTTTAAACGAACCAGGATTCGTTTGGAACTCTGATCCGAATCTTTTATGCAGGTCTGAATACACACAAACGAATCCTGGTCCGGACCAAAGAACCGAACCGAGACCCACTTTTTGAGGTGGTCTCGGTCCGCTTCCAAACGAATTCTGGTCCAAGTCGAATCAGGTCTGAATACATCCGGTGTCGATCCGACACAACTCCAAGATACGTGCGCATTTTTTGGGCTTAACAAGCCGCAGACAGAAACTGAGGAATTAGCCACGCAGCGGCTAACTATGATGCTAACTATGCTGCTAACGCTACACAACAACACTGAGCCGTGTGCAGACCTGGAGCAGTGAGGAGACGCTGTGCAACAGGCTTATGGAGTTACAACTGTTCACAGTATACATTGATGTTAATGGCAGCATCTTTAAATACTTTGCATTATAAAAAACCTGACACTGTTTGACTCACGTCTCAAAAAGAAATATCCCGCATCATGTAGTGAATTGTGTTCTTTGGTTCCTACCTGATCCTCAGCGTCTGTTTGTCCCGTGGTTCTACGTCATGGTGCTACGTCCCTTAGGACTTCGCTAGTGGGATATCACTCGTGACCCCCAGGTCACGCGCCAGAGAGATCAAAATAATTTGCTCCAATCACCAGCCACCTTCCTCTATAAATGCCCCTGCACAAGGCCGTACCCCCTCTTTCACTCTGGCGCCGATTGAGATCTACATTTCAATTTACCTGAGGAAAGATGTCTTCTGATGCTCGTCCGAGTTCCCCTTCGCCATCCGGCGTCGGACGTCGTCGTTGCTCGACTTGTCGGGTCAAGCTCCAGCGCAAGGACCAGCACTCCAGCTGCTTCGTGTGCCTGGGTTCGGGCCATGCGGCGTTGAGCGCCACCTGCGCCTCGTGTCTCGCTCTCCCCAGGGAGGAGAGTGAACGCAGGCGCGCGTTCTTCGCCGCTACAGCGCCCCGTCCGGACTCCTCTCAGGACGAGGAGTCTGTGACTGACTGGGCCCCCCTCGACCTCCCACCCGTGCCCGCGGAGTGGGGTGACTGCGAGGACGGAGAGGTGTCGGAGGTCGGCTCTCTCCTCACGCTGGACGAGGTGGTGTCCAACCCGGAGCCGGACCGCTTCCCGCTGGACCACATACCTGGGCTCTACTCCACGGCGGACATCAGGCAGGGGGGCAGGGGGGCATCATGGATGCCCCCCTGCCACCGCAACCGAACCAGAGGGTGGAGGACTTCACCTCTGGTTACGCCACCACTCGAGGGAGGAGGAGAGCGCAGCCCACGTTGTGCCCGCGTATGGACCCGATCGTCCATTACGCGACACGTGAGTGGCCAAAGCCCCTAGCGGCCAAGAGGCCCGCTTTGGGGTACGGCATGTATTGTAACGTGCAGGACTGGTCCTGGACCGGCGGGGTCCCGGACATCGAGGACTCGGTTCGAGCGGCCCTGCACCCCTCCGCATCCGTGTGGCCCGGCACTAGACCTCTCCTTCCCTCCGAGCGGGATAGGATGTCTTTGGCGATGCACGATAGATGTTACGCCAATGCGGCTCAGGTCGTCGCGGTGGCTAACAACATGGCCTTCATCACCGGGGCCCTGGATAGGTCTCTCTCTTCTGGCCAGGCGCTCAGTGGAGACACCTTATCCCAGGCGAGGACCACTTCAGCAGCGATCCTGCGCATGTGCCAGGCGCTAGCTGTCGATGGCGGCCGCACGATGGCAGCAGCACAAGTGGGGGCCAGACACCTCTGGCTGGGGCCGGTGAACCTCAGAGAGGCGGAGAAGAGGCAGCTGCTGGACCTGCCCATCTCCCAAACGTCACTCTTCGGTCCGGAGATGCAGACGCTGATAACTAGGCTGGACACCGCAGCTAAGGACTCTGCTAGCCTAGCCCAGCATCTAGCTGCGAGATGCGAGGCCCGCCCACCAGTGCGGAGCCGAGACAGAGGCAGGGAGCGCTCGCCCGGCAGGCACCCCGGACCATATCCACGCTCCGTGGTTCATCGTTCCCCAGCGACGAGGCCCCCGGGCCCAGACAGGCACACGGGAGGCTCGCGGGACCAACGCACCCACCGACGACCTCCCTATGGCAGAGGAGGTCGGGGTGGGAAGAATTCTTTCAATAAAAGCCGTGCGGCATTTCATCAGTACTCGCTGTCTGAGTCTCATTTGGGGGTATGTAACATGTCAAATGATTTGAATTCTGATTGTGTTACTTCTCGAGCATATAACGTGGCTCCGCTAGGCCTGCAGCCCCCAGAGAAGGGCGTGCAGCGTGCTATGCGGGCCACGGGCTCCGATTCACGGGTTCATGTTTTG